GTCCCATATTAGATGAGCTGGTGGATTTTTAACAACTCCAACATCCACATCCACATCCACATCCACATCCACATCCACTTTTTAGAAAACCTATGCTCATCTTCTTCAAAAATTTATGTGTTCATATCACTGTTCTAGTTCGTCGGGTTTATTGTTTGAATGCTTAAATTATAAGTCGTCGTAGTTCGTTTTATCTTGAGAAATCTAGACTACAATGCTCCTAGCACCTTTGAATGTAACAAATAATAAGATTTTAATGAAAGAATGCATGTTTCGCTTGACTCGAACTAAACTTCACCTTTCGTTTTGCTTGGACTTGTATTTTTCTAGAAATAATCTTTTCGTAAGATTATTTCCCTACAAATTATTTTAAAGACAACCTTACATGACTTATATTTACCACTCATAAATTTGTCATTCCTTAATATGACAAGTTTTAATAGGTTACTATTTGAAAAAAAAAATGGATAAAAAGGAAAACAAACCTATTTAAAACTTGTCACATGGAATGACAAATTTGTAAGTGGTAGATGTAGGGGCTATTGTCATTTTTCTTATTAAATAACTTTAATACGGTGTATTATTTATAAAATATTTTTTTAAGTATTAATGGCTCTATTACAATGCATGTAATATCTATTCATATTTACTTTTTTCAACCTATTAAAGGACAAAGAGTTCATATTTGTTCATATTTACTTTGTCAACCTATTGAAGCACAAAGAGTCAATATCACCCCCACTAAGATTCGAATCCATAACATTTTATTTGTCTCATTAAAGTATCACTTCATGCTACTAGACCACAAACAGGGACGGAGCCAGGGGCAGAGGGCAGCTGCCCCCCCTCACCCCACCCCCACCCCATATATAGTCTTTATATGTATATATGTATATATAGTACAGGTTTTAGTATTAGTATAAAAAAGGGAAAATGACACTTTTTACCCCTGAGTTATATACTTAATTACTTATAGCACTTTTTTCCCCTCAATTATTTAGGTAAGCACATTAGCCCCCTCAATTATTTTAAAAGTGGTGCTTTTTCCCCCTGATATATTAAATTGACATTTATACCCTTAAAGTAAACATTTTATTTATTTTACTACTACAACAAATTATTGCGTATACGTAGGGATGACCACGGTTCGATTTGAATTGAACCGGATACTAAAGCAATCGAATTAATAGTTTACGGTTATAATTCAGATCTAGAACCCAATATTTAAATGTCAATTTATTAAAATTATGTATCAAAAAATTGAATCTTGAACCGTGAACCGGCGGTTCCGGATCTGATTCGTGGTTTTGAACCGTCTTTATTTTAAAATTTTATTTTTTATTTTAAAATAGTCTAAATTCAACAATAAATGTATTTTATTTTTTTTTGGAACATGAACCGTCCGTTCCGGTTCACGATTTTAATAAACTCTAAATATCGAATTTCGATTCTAAATTGTAATTGGAATATTTCGGTTTGGTTGCTATAGTGTTTGTTTAGTTTGAACCAAATTATGGTCATAATTTGTTGGAGAAAAAAATAAATTAAATATTTAGTTTAAGGGTAAATATGTCCATTTAACATTTCAGGGGGAAAAACAGCCACTTCAATAACTTAGGGGGAAAAAATGCTATAGGTATATAACTCAGGGGGAAAAAGTGCCATTTTCCCTATAAAAAAACTATAAAATGTTAACAAGAGTGAGTTAGATTAGGTGGTAGAGTACATATTTGGCAATAGTGAGGTCAAGAGTTTAAATTTTGACATTCATATAGTTTTACAATTCATTAATTATGTTTCATATTTTGTTATGAATATTTTTATAAAGTTTCGATGTGTTTTATTTTTCGTCCATATCCAACAATATTTACAATTATATTTCTTAAGTAATTTATTTATTTAATTTACCCCACCAAATTTCTAGCTCCGTCCCTGACTACAAAATCATTAACATTAAATATTTATTTAATCACGTACTATCGTGCAATATTTGACTTTAAAAAAAAAAAAATAATAATAATAATAATAATAATAAGATGAGACACTCCACATTCCACACAACTTTTCAAACACGACATCCAAATTAAGAATTATATTGTTACGCAGTGGACGGAAATGGCGAAGTCGTGCGATCCAAGTTTATAATTTGGTGCGTATTCAGAGAAAGTTTCTCGTGGATAAAGAGACGTATCCACTTCTCCCTTCTCTTTAAAAAAAAAAAAAAAAAAAAAAAGACTTGTCCACTTATGCATATGTGATATTCGAGTTATTATACCATGGACAATGATTTACTTTGGACTGCATAATACAATACAGTGTCTACCTTGTAAGGTAGTCTCGAGTCTATACGATAATTTGTGGTGATATTCTCTATCAACAATTCACCAAATAAATAAGGGTTCTTACAAACCTATGGTAATGTGGAAAAAAAACATTTAAAAAAAAAAAGCAGAATTTTTTCAAAGTGATGCATAATATGATCAAGGTTGTTTAAAATGACGTATAGTTTTATCTAAATTGTTCAAAAAGTCATGCTACATGTCCTATAAAAATCACTATCATGGTACTATTTTGTGATTTTTTTTTTTATATTTGATTATTATATGATTTTTTTATTATTAATTCATGGTGAGGTTATCCATTATCCAATTCACCAAAGTGAATGAAAAAAAAAATATTTTTATTTTTAAGATTGCCACATGGAGAGTAGAATTTATGTAGTAACTAATTGTGGATAGAGATGTCGATCGGACCAGCTCCTTCAATTTTAGACTCGCCCTATAAGACTATCAGACGTATCGATTCTGGCTAATCATTTTATTTTTGTTAGATTTAAAATTTGTGGCCCTAACTTTAAAATTTTGAGTTGTCCACCTTATCAGGTAGACTCAACTAAAACTTTTGATATTTTTAAATTAATATTTTAAACTTTTAATTCCAATAAACTAGTGGATTTACACTAATAAATATAAATTTGTACAATAATCAATCAATCTAAACATCCATTTTCAATTCCAACTGAAAATGATTAATATATTTGCGTTATAATATAACAAATTTTTATTTTTCATTATTTATTTTGATTAAAATATTTTATCTTGTAATAAATTTATTAAAATATTATTTACAAATTTAATTAAAAAATACTAAAGATAAACTTATATGTAAACTCCATGTGTATTTTGTTCCATATTACTTGTGAAAAAAAATAGCCTTAAGTGGTTCAGACTAGCGATTCCATATCACGATTAAAATTTTCAAATTTCAATGTAATTGTACTTGTATTTAAATTTTCAAAAAAAAAAAAAAGTACTTGTATTTAAAAAAATAATAATAAAATCAAACTAACATATTTAAATTCATTTTCAAAATACATGTGTTTTAAAACCACATTTTAAAATTAAAAAAAAATTAAATAGGTTAGTTCTTACAAAATTACAAGTACGAATATATTGAAATTTTAAAATTTTAATCATTATTATTAAATTTTTAAATCAATATAAATTTAAAAAACTAATTTAAGTTTATTTTAATTGATATAGAACCTTTCTTCTTCTTTTTTTTTTTCAAATATAAATAAAAATGTTTACAGCTCATTCTAAGATGGCCTTTAATTAAATTTCACAAAGCAATACCAAAGTACGTGGTTGTATATATATACTATATAGTAAGATGATAATATTTTAATGAGAGGGTTCAAAACTAGCTAGTTGACACATTAGATCATGTTGATGTGGTAGTAATGACGTCATGTCACGTCAATAATGCCAATGGTCAATTTTAATAGGAACATTAACAATGTCAATAGTCGCAATAGCTCATTAGTTAATAATACATTTATTTTCTTATTCTTCTTCTTCGTTTTAATTTATTAAGCATTTACCAATTTTAAAAGTAATTTAATATTTATTGTTTTATTTTAGTAATAAAATTGAATCAATTGCTAGTGAGTTTATTATGTAATGAATAGGTTATTACACATGTTATTGGGAAAAAAAGTTTGAAGGCTCAACATTGATATTTTGTTTTGGAAAAGGAATCAAATATGTTATTGAACTTTGTACTTTTGTGTAATTGAGTCATTAAATTTAAAAAGTGTGTAATTAGACCATCAAACAAGCAAAATGTGTGTAATTTATATAGTTTTTTAATTTTTTCCAGTAAAATCTGATTATATTGATTATATGGTATGTACTAAAAGTTGCTCTTTCAATTGTCATATTAGTTAGGAGTAAGATTGAAATGTTTTTAATTCAAATTACATTAAAAGAAATAAAAAAAAAAAAGTCTCAATTGCACATAATGTGCTTGTTTGATAACTCAATTACACCCCTTTTTCTAATTTAGTGATCCAATTACACAAAATAGATAATTTTAGTGACATATTTAACACATTTTCTTTCGTTTTCATGAACATTGGGAACAATTAATTATCACTTACATAGACCTTTTTTTTTTATTAGTTCATTAATCATAAGCTGAAACAGTTACAATAAAGATCGATAGAATGATAAGACATTCTTTACAGTCAGACATAGAAACAATTTTCCTAGCAATGCAAAAAGAAACTTGAATCGCAAACTGTGTTACAAGATTGAAGCTGAATTCATTAGAGGAACCTAAAGCTTCTTTGATGTTAATGATCTGGCTATCCAAGACTGACTCTGTTTGAGAAGTCTTGCATACCACATGAGTAACTATTGCAGCTATTCTATCCATAGACACTATAATATTTTAATTTAAGAATCACTATTATTGTGTAGGAATATATTAGTAATTATACTCAATATTTTTACGATTTTAAATGGAACCAAATAATATAATTAATATCCCAACAGAATATCCTTTTTGGGCCAGCTCCTGTGCCTCTCGGAGTGAACATTAATATAATTAATATTTTTAATAATTCATTTCACACCAACCAAATAATAGAATCAATACTAATTTCTTTCTATAAAATTTTAAATATTTTCTACGCGTTAGAGTTTTTCCTAAATTTGAGGGAAGAGTGCTTTCCTTTGAACAAATTCCGAAAGAGAGTTTTTTCCTAAATTATGAAACGAAATTTCTTAGAAATTGTGTAAGGAACAATACAAATTATAAATGGTGATGGGAGGCCATTCGAGCAAAAGAGAGAAAGAGAGAAAGAGAGAATGGGTAACTGTGTTTCTGATGTAAAAGGTGGGAAACAGGGTGTAGGCGGCGGTGGGGCCCAGGGTTTTGGCGGCGGCGGCGCTGAGGGGAAAAACGACGCAGTTGATTTTTACTTCCGCGCGCAGGGACAACGCCATCTCGCCTCCCAAATTCAGGTTTATTTTCTTCTCAATTACTACTAACTAAAGCTTCAGAACCCTCAAATTCAATCGCTCTACCTTGCAATCACTTCAATTTAAAATCTCAATTACTATTAAATTTATAACTTTATTGTTATCAAGTAACTAGGCTGGTTCTCCAATCAATTTAATTTTTATTATTTTTATTTCGGTTATCATTCTAAATTGTTTTTGAACTCTGAATTGAGGTTTAAGTTTTTTGGACTGAAAATATTTGATAAAGTGATCTTATAAAGAATCACCGTGTATTTAATATATATATATATATATATATATATATATATATATATATATAAATTATATACTTTTTTTTTTGTGTGTGTTCGTGAAAAAACAAAGGTGAACACTACCAGGTGTTGTCAAATCCATTATCCATAGTTGATATTATGTGTGATCTGTGCACTTTTCTACTAAAATTTTTATTGGTCTTTTTGAAATTTAATTGTAATTTATATTCGGATTCTGGTTTTTTGACTGATGTTATTTTTAATTAATTTTTTAAAATATTAAGATTAATATTAGTATATATAAAATTTGTATTTGTATATTTAGACATTATAATTATAATAAAATAATTATTAAATTCAAAAATTAAAATAAATAAACAAAAAGAAAAAGAGTTAGTTTCGCCCATGAATAACAAATCTCAAAAGGAAAATGGTTCAGATTTAAGAAATTCAAAAAGTGGGTCCATTTGGAATGATGAAACTAATGTCACATCTTATTTATTTTTTATTAAAAAAAGTGTAAATACACCCTCTCTAGATTTTATAGTCAAGTCAAGTCAACCTTTTGTACGTAGTCAACAATCCTTGTTTCAGCTTCTCATTTTTATTTTTTTTTGAAGCTTCTCATTTTTAAATATACTAATTTATATCATTGGCCTACAAAGCCTACACCCAGAAACTAACTTAAACAAATTGATGACACAAGTAAACTTTGGGTTCAATGAGATCTGGTCCTCAAATAACACTGAACTACGGATCTTGAGAACTAATTCTAATTGTTTATGTAATCAAGTGAAATTTTGTTAAATTGATGTCGTTGGGTGGAAGTCGGTAAATAGCGCACCAGGTGACTAGGAGATTATTGAGCTATAAAGGGTGCACCAGGTGACTAGGAGATTATTGAGCGGAAGTCTAAAGGCCAAATCGAGCAATTGTGTCGTGAAAATGTGACATATAAGGACCAGTTAAGCGCTTGATCCTGACAATGACATACATAACTAAAATTTTAGTTCAATGGGAATTTAGTCATGAAATAACATGGAATGGAGATCTTGAGAAATCTCCAAGCTGATTACTGAAACCATAATGTTATGCGGAATCCGTTTGAATCATTTTCGGGTTCTTGTGCTTTATTATGTTTTTTCCATGAGTAACTTGTCCATATATGCTTCTTGTTAAATTTTTTGTTTTGTTACAAAATCTTAATACTAACATGGCATTACAACGTATCTTGTTAACGAAATGCAGCTATCTCTATCAGCTTCGAAGCTTCTTGATTGTGACATCATGTCAAAGGTATCCTCACAAGATTTTGCATATAGAAAATGGCTTGCAATTCGAACCACATTTTACTCAAAATTGCTACATATTGAAAAAAGAAGAAGAAAATTTATGTTTCTATGTAATAACCTCACCATGAAGTTGTACATATTACTCTTTTATATATATGAATATGAATGTATGTGAATCCAACTTGAGACAATATTTTGGTGCTTCCATCTTTTAATTGCAGAGTGATCCCATGGCAGTAGTGTATGTAAAGAAAAGGGATGGAACCCTTTTAGAAGTTGGACGCACGGAAGTGATAATGAACAATTTGAATCCTACTTGGATTCAAAAAATCAATATTACATACCAGTTTGAGATTCCTCAACCATTGATGTAAGTGCTTTAATTTGTACTCATAATCCCTGCATCTCTCTCATTTTAGAAATGTCTATTCACTCTCTTTTCAGCTTTCATATCTATGACGTGGACTCGAAATACAATAATTTACCTGTGAAGGCACTGAAGTTGAAGGACCAAGATTTCCTTGGTGAAGCAAATTGTGCTCTCTCTGAGGTGTGTTATGTTGCTTGCTTAACAAAGGCAAATTGGAACTAAATTCCGGCATTATACTATTATTATCAATTATCATGAAGTTCTTGTTAAGTTGAGTCGTAGTGATGAGATTGATAGAAGGAATGAAACTATAAAGATTTATTAGCTATCTTGGATATCGAGACTACTTGTTATGACACATCTAGTTACTATTGTAGGCATTTCCTCCTTTGTATCATGGCGGGGTGGGGTGGGCCTGGCCATTGGTGGCCCGCCCTGCCAGCCTGTATTGACAGCTCTATTTGTATGGCATGAAGATATATCTTGCACTTTTGCTTATTTTCCCATTTGACTATTCCAGATTGTGACCAAACAAAATCAGCTGTTAACATTGAATCTTCGCAATAGATTTGTGCATGGCTCGAAGAACTTTGGTACACTTACAATCCATGCAGAAGAACTTGTTGTTTCGAAGAATGCTGTGGAGTTGACGCTAAGGTGTACAAATCTGGAAAACAAAGGCATATTCTCGAAAAGTGTATGTATAGGATATGATGGAGTTGAGTTTTGTGTTGCTCGTAACCTCGTTTAATTTTCTTGTTTTCTTCTGCTTCAATCTTCTAGGATCCTTTCTTGAGAATATCTAGGATTGTTGAAGCTGGAGTATCTGTTCCAATTTGTAAGACTGAAGTCGTGAAGAACAACGTAACTCCCATATGGAAGCCCTTGTGTCTATCCATCGAACAATATGTAAGCAAGGTATGTATATGTCATCTTCTTTCTTAGAAACTTCTTAATATTGTTTGCAACTTTGCATACATTTGTTACACTTTGATTCCAATTCCTATTTACTACCAAACAAAGAAACTTTTTCTACTTAAACCCATTACAATTATCAAGTATTTGATTCTAATTACGATTCTGATTCCAACATTTGAATCAAATGCTACCTTCATATTTCCTATGTTTGTTGTAGGATAACCCTCTAATCATTGAGTGTTTTGACTTCAAGAGCAGTGGTAATCATGTACTCGTCGGGTATGCACAGGATATATTTATATCCTTCATTCTTTCTCTTTATATTTAGCTTATTTAAAACATCTTACCCCTTGGATTTTAGTTTTAATGGAATGGTTTTTACATCATGCAGAAAATTACAGACGACAGTTGCAGAGCTTCAAAATCTTCATAATGCTAAAGCTGGAGCAAATTTTGTCAAACCACCTTCTGGGTTCCGGAATCAAGAAAAGGTTTTAGTTACATTTGTACTTTATGTATATGTTTTTTTTTTTGATACATTAAGTTTTCTGGCTTACGCTAAATTAATCTTAAGCCCCCAAAACCTCTGCCTAAGAGTCACTGGAGGAGGTAAATCGCAAGTTGCCCAAGCAATCTCCCAGTCAATCTTTGTCGTTGACTCTGCGCACAAGGGATTCATCTCCATACTTCCTGCTAACTTAGGGAGCCCAAGGGCCCGAACTCTAGTTTGGAGAGCCCTAGCTCCAAGATGTTGGTGGGAGTCAAACTTTTATGTTTTTCCGCTTTCTCCATGACTTGTAGAGTCTTTGCACCACATGCATGTACTATGTGACTCACCAGTATTTTCCGTTCAGCTTTTGAAGGCTCAACTCTTTGTGGAAGTATGCTTTGAGAAGCAACTCTATAGCTTTCTCGATTACATTTCTAGTGGATTTGAGCTTAACTTTATGGTTGCTGTTGATTTTACTGGTATCATCTTTCATATCTATTCTTTTTTATGTTTTATTGTTCTTTTGGTATTCTTCAAGAGTTCTTTGCTGATACATCTACTTTGCATGCCCAGCTTCAAATGGAAACCCTCAAAATCCCAGTTCTCTACATTATATTGATCCTCAAGGAAACTTAAATTCTTACCAGAAGGTAATAAGGGGAATGCCATCTTCTATAAGAAATTAAACTAAATGTTATCATTACGATGTATTGAGAACTCTCTTCGGTCCACAATATGAAATTGACTAAATACTGTACTTGCTTCAGGCTATAAAGGAGGTGGGAGAGGTTATACAATTCTATGATTATGATAGATGTTTTCCTGCTTGGGGCTTTGGAGGAATGACATATACTGGATCAGTATCTCATTGTTTCAACTTAAGTGGAAGTTCAAGTTCCTCCGAGGTTAGAAGTCTATATTGAATCTAAGAGAAAACTCAACTATTTTGTTTTTCTTCGCGCAGATCATTATATAGTTTGTTTGTGCATGTTTTTGTGTTATGATTTGGTTTTATATTACTTCAGCTACTAGCAATTGTTATACGACGAATCAAGGTTTACCTTGCATTGTGGACGCTGGTCCAAAATGACATTTAGATTATGTGTTTACTGTTAACATATTATGAACTTTCTGTTAATAAATTATGTGCTTACTACAATTAACATATCTATAGGTATATAATCTGTTAACCAAGGTTGAAAAAATCGCTAGGCGCCTGGAGGACCGCCTAGCGCCCAGACGCCGATAATCGGTGCCTGGGCGCGATTTTTGCAACACTGTTGTTAACTGCATGCACAGGATCTGAATGTGATTTTGGACCAGGGTCTGCAATGCAAGGTCGACTTGAATTGTGGACCATGGTCCATGGTATAATTTGCGAGCTAGGTTTGAATTCGTAGTTGTTTTGAACACTCTTGGTCTTGTTGGAGACAGCAACTTAACCTTTGGGCTATTGTTGAATACAACAATGTCATGTATTATTAAGGTTTGACACAAATGCTCTTTCACAGGTTCAAGGGGTGGGAGGGATTATGAATGCATATTCAAGTGCTTTGCACAATGTAAGTCTTTCAGGACCCACTTTGTTCAGCCATGTTATTAACAATGCTGCAAAGATTGCTGCCAAGTCCCTCAAAGACAACCACAACAAATACTTTGTCTTGCTGATTATCACGGTATATATGCAGTGGGAAAAATAGGATTTAATTTGCTCGATCTCGTACATTTAGTGCCTATATGTAACGTTATTTTGCCTTGGCTGTAGGATGGAGTTCTTACTGATCTTCAAGAAACGAAAGACGCAATTGTAATGGCATCTGATCTGCCACTTTCGATTCTTATCATTGGAGTTGGCAATGCAGATTTTACACAAATGGAGGTACATACACAGTCTGTTTACACACTTTCTCGTTTTAGAAAAACGAAGGTGGATCCAATGATAAAATCGTGTTTTTCATGGGATAGATCCTCGACGCTGATAATGGACGACTACTAGAGAGCTCCACCGGAAGGGTAGCTACACGAGACATTGTGCAGTTTGTTCCCATGCGTGAAGTGCTTGGTAAGTCCATACGTGTGTGTCCTCTCTTCTGCAGCGCTCCTATATATGAACACATGCAAAAAAAAAAAAAAAAAAAAAAAAAAAAAAAAAAAACCGAGAATTTTTATGCCGTTATATAATTGTATGTATGCAGGTGGACAAATTGAAGTAGTGCAAGCTATGTTGGAAGAGTTACCATGGCAGTTCCTAAGCTACATGCGAAGTAGAAACATCAAACCCCTTCTGAACGTCGAGGCAATCCCACCTTCTACTGCTCCAACTCAACCATGCTAGCTAGGTTTCCGTTGCTACAAAGTCGAATGGAGTTAGTTGCTTAAATATGTACATGCTAAGTTAGAGTTAGCAGGAAAATATAATGTCAAACGAACAACTCTTCCCGGGCACATATATAATGTTCGTATTGCACCAAATGTACTATTCTGTTTATAATCATTCTTTACAAAAAACTAAGAAAGATCTCTCTGGACAGTGAATGAATGTACATTAGTGATGTCTATGGCTATCCTTCTCCCTTGATGAATATGAGGAACTGTGATAGTTACAATCTTTGCATAAAATTAACATTGTTAAGAAAATTTTGGTGGCATGTTTACTTAGGATTGAGGAAATATACCTCAAGAGTTTTGGCTATTTCCAGATGTGCTGTTTTTATATCAGTTTAGTAAACATATGGTATGAGTGAAAAGCTTCAAGAGCTAATCAGAATGTTACCCATGACTTTGATTTTTCCTTCTTCTCCCCTCTCTCTTTTGCTAATCCTTTTCTTAGGTCCCTGGCCTTTTCCCCACCAACTTTGCACATATGCTCAGTTGTTGAATTTTGGTTAAACATGGTAATTAGAATGGTAATTGAAATCGAATACTCGGTAATTGTAATAAATAGGAATTAGAATCAAAATAAATAATTAATTAATTAATTAAAATAAAAATAAATAAATATATAAAAGTATATAAGACATATATATATACACATATATGTGTATATATATTAAAATTCCATAATCAATGCATGTGCAACAACCTTTTTATTTATTTATTTTTATTTTTTTCTACCTTATTTTTTATTTCATTGTTTAAAGGGGAAATCAACATTTTGATCTCTCAATTGGCAATGTAGTCCTTAGTTTTCAATTTCAACCAGATTCTCGAATTATTTTAAAATTTTGTTAATTAAACACTTTTAGGGATCAAATTGACGAAATTTTAAAATGTGAAAATCACTATAAAGATTTAAAATTTTATCTAAACTCTTTCAGGGACCAAATTGACGAAATTTTAAAAATGTGAAAATCACCATATTAGTCCTTGAAAAGATTTAATTGACAAAATTTTAAACAATTCAAAGATCAAATTGGGAATTGAAATGGTAATTAACTCTTGTTTAAAAGTAAAGAATAGTACTACTAAGAGTCAATAATACCCTTACTAGAGGGCGAACTCATGACCTCCCATTGAAAGAGTCACTTCATTAACACTAAATCATAAGATCATTGGCATAATAGGTTTTGTGATTATTAAAAGGTTTTATTCTAATAGTAGGATAACAAAAATAAATAAACAAACAAACATAGTAATCGACATCAAACCCATAGTAAGGTGCAAAAGTCCCAATCAAACACACTGACTTCTTCAACTAATATAGAAAAGTCCAATTGCATCTATTGTTCATCCAACAAAAGATGTGTATAATTCTTTTAAAATATTAAAAAGAATAGGCACCTGTTTCAGACTTTTAAAACAGACACCCATAATTCCTACTCAACAGAAAATTTATCATCCAATATTCAATTTGAATCATTCAAATTCTACAATCAGATCCCATCCAACACATTCAAAACAATCAATCACCAACTATCATCTAACAATATATCTCTCAACACATTCAACCATCCATCTATCCACATATACATCTCAATTAAATTTCAACCAACAAATTAATCTATAATGCATAAATTTAAACAAACACATCTAACGACCATAATTTTTAATATAAAATCAGATAATATATATTGCTAATTACACTACTTTAACACATTCAACCTGACACGTAATATATATATATATATATATATATATATATATATATATATATATATATATATAATAGTTTGCTAGCTACAATCAATTACAGTATTAGAAACTATATGCATTCTTCCATAAAATATTTCACCCACATGGTGCGTATCTCATCGATTTCCTTGTTGGGGTAAGCATTAACTTCTTGAAATGCCTGCAAAATTTTCAAATGAACAAATTAGTAATTATATCATTACTGCGCTATAATTAAATGTTTTAAAAAATATACCTAGTTCTATTACTTTTTACATACCTCATCCAAAGAAGTGTAGTCAGAATATCTTGTGCACATCTCATACATATATCTCATAACATAGTATCCACACTCAACACCTCCTGATTGTTGAGGACACTAAAAAGTATATATATTACTATATTAGTAATCTAAACAATACATTAACTAAAAAAAAATCATACTAATATTAAAATTTTAATTTCATACACGAACTTTCTTCCAATCAACCATGTTTCTTGCCCTTTGCCCTCTTTGACTCGTAAATGATCGAAATGCCCTATAATATTAGTTTAGGTCTTTAGGACAACAATTTACAAACAAATGAATATCAAACTTACACAACAAATATAATAACCCAAAGAGTTATATATGTATTAATAATTTTACTTACATATTCAATGCTGGCTTGATTTCTAGGGTGCGGTCACATTCTATAGGATCTAAGACGTATACCATTTTCGGATTAACAGAAATCACTAGCAACAACCAATGGTGTCTACATTTTATAAACATGTGTATTAGACATTTAATAAAAATAATTCAAATTAAATTATATAAATAAAGAAAAAGAACTAATTATCTTACTCTTGATGGTATGGTGCCAAAATGAATTTATGGCTCTTAAGTTGAAGCATGACATGAGCAAGATATGTCGTAACAACATCAATATTTAAGTTAACATTAGCTTTCGAAATCTGTGTTGGACACATAAACCCAATTGAGTTGACTCCATTTTGCTTGCACAACCGATTAAGACACCTGAAAATCCTTAAATAAGAAATTCAAGAACAAATAAAAGTTTTAAATTGATAAAAATATAAAATATAAAAAAACTTACAGTATAAACACTTGTATAATAGACACATCAAGCCATTTCATCGTCAATAAGTCTTTGATGTCCCCCATCATCACATAAATGGCAGGCACATTTCTGTGATGGAAGATTGCATACTCAAGCTCCAACTCGAAGTAGTCCAAATTGGGAGGCACTGATTTTAGCAAGGTGACTAGTTGCTTGCATTCATTTCCCAAATGTTGTAAGACATCATCATCAACAAGGAGGGGTCGTGCTTTCGTAGTAGATAGCCCATCATGCTCATCACTCTGTTCATTCATTTCTTCTTCATTTTGTTCTTTTGAATTTATTATTACATTTTCCTGTATATATAAATTTTTAATCATAATAACAATTAAAAAGTAAACAAGAAAAATTTAATAAAACTCTAAAAAAAGAGAAAAAAGTTCTTACATCTTCTAAAAGAACTAAATGCATAGGCCATTGTGTAAAATTTCTCAAGATCTCTCCCAAGTTGGTATAGTGTTGAGTTTGCACCGGTAGAATAAACGCTTCTGCACCCTTAACAACCTCATCTACCAAAACCTTTACATGATTAGGTAACAATGGTTGATTTTGCACTATAGTGTCAGATTTAATTGGGTGAGCTATCCCTCTTGCAACTACTAATGGTGTATCACCAATAGGACATAAGGCAAGACGACACCGAGTCGGATTCTATTATTCAACATAAAATAAGATATATGTTAATTTAACTATTGAAATGATATTTAACATTAAAAACGTTTAATATTACCTGAATCATGCTAAATGAATTTAGATCAACTGAGTGGCAATTGCTACGAGTAAGTGGTGGATCAAAAGGAATACGCGTGCTCAGAGGTGTCCCTGTAGAAGCACTAGGATCAACAGGAAACTGTTGGGGAGCGTTTTTCATTAAGTACTTGAGCTGATCATTTAGGATGTCTATCGTCGGTTGCATTGCTGATATTGTTTCTTGCTTGACTTTCTCAGCAATATCAGTATAAACTTCCTTTTTGATAATCTCTCTAAGATTTTCAACATCGGCAAACCTTGATTTTCTCTCCTCTGGCTTGCCAAAAACATCCCTAATGGTGACGTATACACCAACACCTCTCACAAAGCCTGAGTGATCTTCCTTACCAGTAGCTGCTGACAATATATCATGGTGCCTTTTTGGTTGAAATGATCCTTGGCTAACTTCTTCACACTTTTCTACCTATTTAATAAATAAGGTAAACTAAATATTAGCATTTTTCTCAATATTATTTACATTCAAGATATTTATAAAAACTATTACTTACAATTTTTTGAAACACCTCCTTTGTTTTCTCATTGGGAATGTAATAATTTCCATCCTTTCCTTTTTTAGATCTTGCCCGAATCCAATCTAAACTACGATCATCAGACGCAATGATTGAGTTAACAGACGCACACGAAGATTGTGAAGACAGAGGGTCTGATATAAGCCACTCTGACTTTCTACCAGCATATCCAGCAGACCCTAAAAAATGTGGATGCTTATTTTGCGATTGTCGTTCCCTTGCCAGCTGACTTTGCTCCTACAATGTAAAAATTATTATTATTATTTTAGTGATTTGTTAATAATAATAATAATAATAATAATAATAATAATAATAATAATAATAATAATAATAATAAGATTATTATTATTATTCATACAAGTGATTAAACATACCTTGAACTGCTCAGTCTCACGATTTGCTACAAATTTCTCCCATTGTGCATCAGTTAAGAAGTCATATAACTGTGTGGGAGATTCATATCTTGGGTGCTTCTTATAAATAAAATTACGCACTAATCTAGCTTTAAAGTCTTTCCACCGCATTCCAGCAACTCTTAATACTGTATGTTTCTTTTCATCATTTGGAATGTTGAACTCCCTCTAAATAATATCACACACAATCAATAATCAATAATTATTTATATATATATATATATATATATATATATATATATATATATATATATATATATATATATATATATATATATATATATATATCAATAATTAACATTTAATATATTAGAATATTAGATACCTTAATTTCTTCCCAAATTGTATTCTTAATCTTTTTATCCACTTTACGCCAGCCGCTAAGATTAATATCTACATGACTTCGAACCAAAGTACCAAGGTAGGACTTAAACTCGCTTCCATATTGGCCGATTGGCCTACTGTGCTTGTCAAACTCAACTGAAAGTTCTTCATCTAATTTCATCATTTTCAGTTTTTTGCAGGTTGTGGGACCTCTTGCTTTGGGTTGAGAAACTTTCTTCAAAGTAGGTTGTAAAGTA